ACGCCGCAGCCGCTCCGCTCGCGATTAGCTTCGAAAAACCTTGTGGATTTTCGTGTGCTGGTGAAAAAAGTCTGAGCGTAGACTCCCCAATGCTAAGCAACTTTTCCCTCGTGTAAGTAAGCCGCTCAGGGTCGCCAAAAACTAACGAAAATGACAAAAACAAGGATAATACTAGGGAGCGTGTAACCGAGGCTGCCATACCTGTCGGTGCCTGATGACGTATCAGGGATCAGCTCTGAGCCCCTTCTTATTCGCTATGGTGATGGACAGGCTGACAGACGAGGTGAAACAGGAATCTCCATGGACTATGATGTTTGCAGATGACATTGTCATCTGTAGTGAGAGCAGGGAACAGGTGGAGGAGAACCTAGAGAGGTGGAGGTTTGCGCTAGAAAGGAGAGGAATGAAGGTGAGTCGCAGCAAGACGGAGTACATGTGTGTGAATGAGAGGGAGCCAAGTACAAGAGTGAGGTTACAGGGATAAAGAAGGTGGAGGATTTCAAGTACTTGGTGTCAACTGTCCAGAGCAATGGAGAGTGCGGACAAGAGGCGAAGAAGTGTGTACAGGCAGGCTGGAACGGTTGGAGAAAAGTGTTAGGTGCCAGGTGTCATGTGCGATAGAAGAGTTTCAGCTAAGATGAAAGGAAAGGTGTATAAAACTGTGGTGAGACCAGCCATACTGTTTGGACTGGAGACAGTGCCACTGAAGAAAAGACAGGAGGCAGAGCTGGAGGTAGCAGAGATGAAGATGTTGAGGTTCTCTTTGGGAGTGACCAGGTTGGATAAAATCAGGAATGAGAAGATCAGAGGGACAACTCATTTTAGAGGTTTTGGAGAAAAAGTCAGAGAAGCCAGACTGAGATGGTTTGGACATATCGAGAGGAGAGAGAATGAATATACTGGGAGAAGGATCCTGAGTCTTGAACTGCCAGGCAGGAGGCCGAGAGGAAGACCGAAGAGTGCAGTTTAACAGAGAGAGTTTTTGGATGTAGTGAAAGAGGACATGAAGGTAGCTGGTGTGAGAGAAGAGGATGCACAAAACAGGGTTAGATGGAGGCAACTGATTCGCTGTGGTGACCCCTGAAGGGAAAAGTCAAAAGGAAAAGAAGAAGATAGTTAATGTTCAAACTGATTTTTTTTTTCATGGCAACTATTCACTCGTTTTGAATTTGATCCCTGTTTCATGTTACCCAAGAAATGGTGCAAGGGCATTGAACAAAAACAAAAAAACCCCTGAAAATTAGGGAATGCCCAAAAAACACGAGTTTGAAACATTTTACAGGTGGACAGCTAAAGTGGAAGCAGGTCAGCGTCATGATTGGGTATAAAAGGAGCATCCCAATGCTCATTTGTTCCCAAGCAAGGATGATCACCACTTTGTGACCAGCCGCTTTGGCAAGTCATCAATCGTTTCCAATAATGTTTCTCAATGTATTATTCCGACGAATTTAGAGATTTAAAAATCTATGGGCCATAATATTATGATAAGATTCAGAGACACATCTCAACCCCCTCCATTGTGTCTAGATGTGCACTTTCTATCCCTCCCTGTGGCAATTCAGCAGGATAATGAGTATCAAATGGAAGAGATGCATTCAGGTTTAAGAACAGCGTTTTTTTCACCCTTTTGGATGAACCGAACCCTGCTAGTTTTTTACATGTATTCGCCATCATTGAAAAAAATAAAACATGCTGAATTATTTTTTTCAAATTCAAAACACAGGTTCATATTTCATCAGTGTACATACTGAACCCTGCTCAGTCACACATAAAATCACTGTTATAAGAACTCAGTGGATCTTTCCTGCCAATCAATTGAAATTTGATGTTGCCTGACAGAGATAAGTCAGGAATGCTTTCCTTTCCCTGTTTGACTTTGGTCCTCGAAAAGGATTGCTGCAAAAGATGCGTAGCAACCAGTATGAGTATCTCAAAGTCTTGCTTGGCTGAGAGCATTGTTGTTCTGAAGAGTTGTCAAGAATCATACATGTTAGATGAACACAGACATGGCGTGTGTGAGTCTTGGCCTCCACTGAACCCCAAAGACTGACACCTGTACCCCAAGGTTTCGATTTAACCCACGTGAAGAGACACTGCTTTTAAGCAACCTGAAAAAATGTAGCGTTTGTGGACGCTATCACATGAAGCAATGACAGTAGTTTTCCAATTAAAAATAATTTGATATCTAATACAGCGACGTTAACTACCACGATCCTGAGAAAGATTGTTAAACTAGTACCACAGCTGCTTGGAATGCCACAACTGCCTGACACCGACCGTTAGTCATTTGTGTGGTTCGTCACCAACGTTAGTCGTCATCCATCACCTCACACCTGTCTTTTACTCCTTGTCTTGATATTTTCAGTATTTGGGAACAACCAGCAGGGGGAGACTTATTTCAGGCTTTTGACAAGGATGGCAGTAATATTAGAAACCATCTTACTGCAAGAGGTCTTGTAAATGAATGATAATTCATCATTGTAATAATAATAATAATAATAATAATAATAATGTGTGTTTTGCCACCCGCAGGTGGTGGTGGGGGACAAAGTGATCTTGAACCCGGTCAACGCCGGCCAGCCGCTTCACGTGTCAAACTACGAGCTGAGTGACCACCTGGGCTGTAAGGAGGTGCGAGCGTCATTTCAGATGTGCATCACCCTCAAAGCACACATCCACCTCTGACTCTGTATATATATTTGTGCGTGTGTGTGCGTGTGTGTGTGTGCGTGCGTGTGTGTGTGTGTGTGTGTGTGTGTGTGTGTGTGTGTGTGTGCACCTTCTGCAGGTCAACTCTGTCAACTGCAACACCAGCTGGAAGGTCAACTTGTTCATGATGTTCAGTGACCACAGGGATGAAGTGCTCAAAGGCGTGAGTCACATCGCCAACCACAGTTTGCCTTTCATGGAGCCCCACTCCCAATATGCCGACAGGCCAGCCAGAGTGCAGCACACTGGTCCTGCATTCTTCCTTGCAGCGCACCCTGTTGAATGCAGTGATAACATTTTATTTGTTTTTAATTTATTTCTTTCAAAGGAAATTATAGTAAATGTGATTGGCCTGGAACTATTTTTTGTTTCAGTTTTCAAAATCTAAAATTTGGCGAGTAAATTCACACTCTGCATTAATCTTGAATGTTATTCTACGAAAGTGGGTCTTAGCTACTTAAGCAAACAAGGCAAGATCGATCATCCTGGTTGCAGTGTTTGAAAATGCTGTTACTTTTTTTCCACCCCAACTATTGGAATGTTAAACACAAACACAGAACCCTACCTTTTCTTTTCAAGTGACAAGCATATGGCTGTCAATCAGAGGGCAGGTAGTGAGAATGTAAAACAACAGACCACTGAAAATTAATTGTCCATCGTTCAATTAAGTAGCATTTATAAAAAAAGAATAGTGCAAATAAAAAATTCAGTGGCATCGGGTTCCCTTAAAAAAAACGGACTGATGATGTCGTTCGAAATCCGTCTGGGCTTGATCCCCAAGTATGACGTCACTTCCGGGTGACGTGATTGATATAAAAGGAGTTTCCCGAATTGCTGAGCCTTTCACAAGCACAGATGAGGTGAGGTGTGAGAAAATAGTTCAATAGAGGAACATTTTCCTCAACGTACTTTTGCAAGGAATTTAGGCATTTCATCATCTACAGCAGGGGCCCCCAACCTTTTTTGCCCCACGGACCGGTTTATGTCAGACAATATTTTCAGGGACCAGCATTTAAGGTGTGGCGGAAATAATACAACAAAATAATATGGTATGAGCTGCATGAAAACTGTGGCGTTTTCAAAATATAATAATAAACACAAGGTGCGTCTAATCTGGTCGCAACACTCTTATCGCTCTGGTAATGTTTAATGCCTTCAAAATACGATACAACGCAAATTCAAAGTGCATGAAAATGACGACTCACCACAGCACCGAGCTTGATTTTCCGCAACCAGACGGTCCCATCTCGGGGTAATAGGAGACAATGACACCTCAAGTGTGCGGTTTATGTCCAGTCTACTTCGTAATTTTGTTTTCGTCGCCGTTGCTGCAGAACCCCCCGCCCCCCTCACCCTCACACAGGTAGGATGTCGGAAATAGCAATTGTGCTATTGTGTCAATCTCAGAGTATTCAGCCATAACTTTGATCCAGTTGTCTCGAACGTACTTTTAAGGCCGCCGTCATTTGCGATCTCCAGCAGTATTTTTTTTTACTCATTTTGCGAGCTCCCGCGTTTTGTTTTGAAGTAATCGGTCACGTGAAGGAGAAGCGTGGCTTGACGTGTGTCAAGCGTAACACAGACGGATGTAACGGAGAATCCGGTAGTTTTTCAAAATAAAACATCTTTCGTATTCCGAAATAAATAAAACGGAATTAAGGCAAGTTCTTTCTGTGCGGCCCGGTACCAAATGCCCGGCGGACCGGTACCGGTCCGCGGACCGGCGGTTGGGGACCCCTGATCTACAGTTCAGCATATCATCAAAACGTTGTAAGCGACAAGGCCAAAAACCAACATGGCTAATTGTAGGCCATTGAGTTATTCATTTTAAACCATACATACATTTGTCTGTCCTCCGGACCTTGTAGGAGGTGTTACAAAACCCCAGTCCTCCTAGTCTTAAACTGCAGCTGGTCATATTTGTTGTGTGGCTGAACAATTTATCGTTCCACGAGATCAGTGATTCTCAAATAGTGGGGGGGCGCGAGGCTCCATCAAGGGGGGCGCGTTTGACCTCGGGGAACATGCTTTTTTATTTTTTTACTGTCCTAAAATAACGTGCAGTTGCACCTACACTACATTAGGGGGCAGTGGCGCTCTCATTGGCAGAGTTTTCGCAGGGAGCATTCTCAGGGAGGAAATATGACGAGGCGTATGTAGCGCTTGGCTTCAATGCGACTGCGGTGTAGAGATGGGAGTTCCGGCTCCTTTTAGATAGCCGGTTCTTTTTGCTCGGCTCACTAAAAAGAGCCGGCTCTTTCGGCTCCCAAATGGCTCCTCAGTTTTTTTGTTGCTTAAATAAATTTACTACCAAAAATAATATAAAATTATGTGTAAAATGAATTACTAATGTAAAAAATATACAGTATATCAAATATTTATTATTTATATGGCTTTATTTATATTCTTCTGAACATACTCAACATGGAGTACAACATGGAGTGTTACAAGAAATAAATTACAAAGTACAAAAAAACAAAGACCCATCTCAAAACAAGGTCAACAAAAAGTTCCAATCTCTGATTGTGTATATTTATAAGTTTTAACTATTTTCGGTAAAACAACATAAGTAAGCTTTGATTACCACACAACAAATTATAAATTAAAATTTGATATTGGATATTTTAACCGTGCACAGTCTACACGCTGCTGTTGAACTATCAATTAAGTTGAAATGAGTCCAAATTTCACTGCGCTTCCTATCCATTTTCTCACCTTTCCACTTTCCACCGTGTTGTTTTTTTCTCTGTAGCGCTGTCGAGCTCTCTCTCGTCTCCCTGTCTCTGCTGTTCGTGTGCTGCTCACAGTGTGCTGCTGTGTGTCTCTAACTCCTCCCCCTTCTCTTCGCTGCAGTGCGTGTGTAACCCTCCCCTCCCTCTTCTACCACGGATCTTGACCAATCACATGTGGATTTATCCGAATTGGGGGGGGGGGGGTA